ACGGCTTCAATGTCCCTATCTCAACTTTCCATTCGATATTCAATTGAAACATCAGATGCAGGGTGGTGCAGAAATCTGAATTATGATCCATCCTGTATTTGTTTTGATTAAATGTCAATAGATACAAAGTTAAGATAGGGACATAAAAGCCGTTTTGATCGATAATAAATATTTTCGCAAAATAATTCTAAAGTTGAAACATCTCGATTTTTTTCACTCTGAATATCTCAGTTATTAGTCCCACTAGACCCCGATCTTTGTGAATCGATTAAATCAGCTCTTCAGGAAGCATCCAGGGTGTCCCATTTGTAAAATCAAAGTTACTGCTACTTTCGAGTAGAAACGGCAACGCCGGGTTGTTTCAAATATTTCAGACGTGTAGATCATGTTGATTTATACATACCTTCGAATTTTTAGATTTATTTGTTGCCTGGTTTGCCAGAAACATCTAATTAACGCTTATCGTGAAAAGCCCTGTATAGCTTTGATGACGGACCTGCAACTAAGTCTAGAACAAAGAACGATATGAAATACTTCTTCTTAATGTAATACTCACGTATACTGAATAGGAAGTAATAAAATTAATAAAAAATCTCGTCTGATTCCAATTTTGTACCCCAAAATGAGCAAAAATAATATTTTGAGCACATAATATGAATAGTTAAAATCGCCTGTGCACGAATAATAAGAACATCGTTGAATAAAAATTTTGATGTTCTTCTCAGATATGGCAAAAAAAATTAGAAATTCGAATGTATAGGGTGTTGTTTTCTGGCAGAAAGAATTTGTGAATTTTAAGTGAAGCCGGACCTGGATTTTATCTTTTGTTGTTGCCTCAATCAATTCCACAGGGTAGATTAAGCGAGTGTACCAATTTTTAAAAATATATACAGGTTGGTTGGAAAGTTATGAGACAATGAAGATATGGACAAAATTGATGAAACATCCTGTATCTCGGTTATAAGAAGTCGAAGACCCATCAACCATGGGTTTTTTGAAATTACCTCAGTAACCCCTATCCACAGTTGAATTATTTACCTTTCCCAATGAAACACCCTGTATAATATCTTAGCTCATGCAGTGTATAATCTCTGGCTCATGCAACTCGACGGTCATCTCACGTAGTGACGTATCTCAGTTTCCCTAATTTCACAGCAGAGCAGTTCAAAGATTTCCAACATCCTAATTAGCTCATATTTCAGAGGGTTGTTCATGGAAGATCATTATTTGTCCATTTATCAGTGGATGAACTGGAACTAGTTATCATGATATGGTGAGATTTCGAAAAAGCATCCTCAAAAACGAAAAAAAAAAGTTATGAGATACGTCACTACGTGAGATCATGTTTGTTAATGGACCCTCAGATACACCCATGGATATCGAGTGAATTCAAACGAATAACATATCTGAATATTCATTTTCATTGATGAAAACACAGAAATTCATTCCACTTGTACAATCCTCCTTTCAGTACCTTGATATACGTCACCCAAGATATTTTGATTTCCGCGACAAACCCAATGTTTGATACGTCACTTTCGACATTTTCAGCACATAATGAAAATATATCTCACGTACTGACGTATCTCCTATAGTTAGGTCACTTCGTGAGATTCGGTAGTCCAATAATTTGAGATAGGCTGGGTATTAGATTTCCAATTGCACGAAAACCATTGAATATTGAGTTACGCCACTTCGTGAGATCATGAAGTACAAGAATATAAATCACTTGACGAAGTATCTCAGATTCCGATTTTTTATGAGATACGTCATTACGTGAGATGACCCACGAACTGGTTACGTGAAGTGAGACGTTTTAAGACTTCCGTCAGTTCTGAAAGTGTGAAATTACATGTTAAAATTAGGCGTTAGCTTTCCCTCTGGCGTCAGCCTAAATTTTGCATTCAGTTCATTGACTGTAGATAACCCTTTCCAGACATAACGTAAATTACTATCATCCTCATTTTCTTTCGGAAGATTCTACTTTTATGTCTAATTTCAATCGTATCTGGATTTTTTTTTCAATAGTTACACTACTCAAAATGTCTGCAACATACTTTTTAGACCCCACGTATTTCAAATAACAAATGAAAAACATTGTCTCACAAAATTATTGAACGTCCGGCAACATTGCGTGCACCTGCTTCGAACCCTTGGTTTTAAGGGTCAAACACTTCATGCAGGCGGCCACATTCGTGGGGGGATTCTCAAAAGTTGCTGCGAAACTTAACATGGCAATATCTTCCAAAATAATTTTTTTTGACAAAAATTGATTCTTTTATTTCGTTTCGTCTATTCGTGTCCAATTACCCATTTCATTTACTACCCCAATTTTGGAAACACCCGGTATATCTAGTCAGAATTGAAACACCACTAGAAGACCGTATTCAAAATGTTTTTGTAGGGTTTTGTCATTTTGGAAAGTCTCCCGACGACTGTTTACCCAGAACACTGAAACTTGTCGACCTTCGATAGAAGGATGCACAGATTGTTGATTTGTTGTCCCCATTATTGTTGTGTCACGGCATCACGGGAGGTCCAAACTATTCCAAACAGTTCTGGATAATAATGATAACAAAGTTCCTGTGCTGGTTTGCGATACAAAATTTCTTACCTGTATAGTGTATCTTCTGCATTTTTCATATTGATGAAATATTGGTGTGTATCAGATTCCTTCACAACAGTATAATTGATCCTTGATTGTCTCGCTAACTGTTCGAGAGACTGAACAGGTGCCTAAAAAAAATATTTTTCATGAGCGTCGGTATTATTTATCGTAACAATACAATCCGAGGTATACATATAATGTTTCTTCTACTTCTAACACTGAAAAATCAACATCTTTCATCAATTCAGATTTTCATTTCCATTAGAAAAGCAATGCCATTCGCCGTGTATATTCAGCATTATTCAGCATATCACTAGAATTTGTAGATCAAGTGGCCTAGGATTTCAGTTATCGAGCAAATTTAAAGGGAATTCGACTATCATAAAATGAACGCTGTATTGAAATTTAGGTAAAATTGTGAATGGATACAAAAACGAGAGAGAATTTGAGTAACATTCATTCTGTTAGAAATCTTGTACTCCGCCTGCACGAAGTTAGGAAGGATACTGATAGGTATATATCGCAAGTAGCAATTAAAAATACAGTACCTACTCATTAAAATGTTTTGAAATGTTTGAACATTAAAAATATCGCACATGATACTTTTAACAATCATTGAATTGGTACATAATATCAAGCTGGTGTTCCCCAAGGGTCTAATCTGGGACCTTTACTTTTCCTACTATTTATAAATGATATTTGTGATTCCATTTCTTCTTAGAAATTACTGTATGCTGATGATATGAAGATATATAGAGAGGTTAAGAATGTATCAGACTGTGTGTCATTGCAAAATGACTTGGATTCGCTAAATGACTGGTGTATTCGTAACAGGCTTTATCTAAATATCAACAAATGCAAGGTAATGACTTTCTACCGAAAGGTCGAATCAATTGAATATAATTATACTTTAGATAATACCATTTTATCCCGTGTGTTGAATACTAAAGATCTTGGTGTCATGTTTGATGATAAACTCACATTTTCTAATCATGTTGAAAACATTGTTACCAAAGCCATGAAAATGATGGGTTTCTTGATTCGAAATTGTAAGGAATTCGAGTCTCTTGATGCTATCAAAACTATATATTTCTCACTAGTCAGAAGTAAACTTGAATATTGCAGCACGGTCTGGAACCCTTGTCAACAAAATCATGTCAATCTCATAGAGTCTGTACAGAGAAAATTCGTGAAGTTTCTTTATTTTAAAAAACATAAACAGTATCCTCAGAGAGGATTTGATTACAATGCACTACTGGACGAATTCAATCTGCCTTGCCAACGTGAATGTCGGGAGAAAAGTGACTTAATATTCATTCATAAAATTGTAAACAACAGTATTGATTGCTCAACCCTAGTTTCTTCCTTAAATTTCAATATACCACGGTTGGCGTCAAGATCGAATATAACTTTTCGTATTTCAATTCCACATACTCTCCACCACTTAAACTGTCCAGTTAGTTCCATGTGTCGAAGTTACAATAATCTACAGACGGATGCTGATATATTTTTCTTGACTTTAACACAATTCAAGAGAAAAATATCCAATTTACTTCTGAACTAACATACAGTCATTCATATATACCTAGGTTTGGATAAGATAGTATAATATACTGCTGTAATTGGGCTTTAGGCCTGTTGGATGTATAAACAATAAAATAAAAAAAAATAAAAAATAAAAATAAAAATATCATATATCGTATCTACCGCCATAGCTGAAACTGTTTTGATTGGGCCGAAAATGTGTCTATACCGTCAGTCATGGTTATTGAAAATCACACATGGCAGTGACAACTCACGTATGATTCATGTTGTGACATTCTTAGAATTTATAATAATCACATTCTTTCAAACATTTTTCGTACTTCTAAAATTGCCTTCAACTGTAGTGAGATTCGTAGTTTCAACTATATTGGTTTTAAGTATAGCATTGGTATATGTATGCGAGAGTAGGTATAGTCCATATCATTGACACTATTGACAGTTTTATCTACCGAGGTAAAATTTCTTTATCAATAATTCATCACTCACTTATAGGTTTGAGAAGTGTTACTTCTCATTGGAGGGACTCCTCGACTGATTTCTTAGGTTAGTTGTGGAAAAAATTACATTCGTTATATCTTGAACCAAGATATTCTCAACATATCTATCCAGCCATGTGAGTAGATGAGTTTTCTCATCTTGGATTTTCATTTGGATGGAAAAATACTGACCATTCACCATTTTTGCTTGTTTGATTGAGTCAATATATCCGTCGAAAAATAAATAACGCACTAACGCACTCGATAAGTATATATTATAATAATTTCAATCCAGAGTGACATGTGAATAATTCAGAGATTCTGATATATCTGCATATAAGTACATTTCGCATTTTACTACCCATACACACCTGCATTCTCTCAACGGTGAGGAAAGCAGCCAAATTCGCAGTGAAAGTAGCCAACATGAGGACCACGAACAACCAGTAGGCTGCCACCAGCGTTCTGCCCGAAAGAGCTTTAGGCGCTTCACCTCCTCCTTGAGGTGTGAAAGAGGTGAGTGCAAACCAGAAACTCTCCTTCAAAGTGAATTCTCTGCAAAAAAATTCATTAAACAGGGTGATTCAAAATTCGATGTGAAAATTTTCAAGGGCGTATTGTTGGCCTAAAAATGAAACCTTCTCTTTATATAAACATGTGTCCTCAAATGCACCTCATCCGAGGTACAGCCACTGTAAGTTTGGTGAAAAAAAAATTATCTGAAATTGTGATCATAATAACAATAAATCAAATCGCCTGAAAATTGGAATACTCCTGTTTTTAGGCACTCTTCTTTTTATTTGCTTCAAGAATGATGTCAACTCAGTTTTGAGGAAGTTGAAGTATGGCCACCCTTGGAGAGGATTAATTTTAGAACACATGATCATAAAAAAAAGTCTCTTGTCCAAGAGCCGGCTGCAAATTTCGACCGTCATCTGATAACTAAATGATATATGTCCCTCCTTTGTAGGTTTTCAAACGGCACCTGTGCCAATCACTATCATGAACAAAATAGTCAAATAATTGCACTTTCCTGTGCGAAAATTTGCACTCGATTTCGCGATCTGATAACGAGATAAGAATTATGTCATCCCCCGCACAGCACATAATTTCCAATGGACGACCGTTTCACGTCCAGCTTCAGTCCAAAAACGTCCATGTATGTTAAATGGGCGTGCATTGTACGTACAAGACACGGACGTACAATGGACATTATGAATTTGTACATCCATTGTACGTACTTATAATGTAAATGAATAGACTGATTTATTGATATATATTATGTTCAATTATCTCGATCATACTATAAAAAAACGCATTCCATCAGAAACTCATCCGAACGTCCAATAATAAACAACCATTGGACGTCCACTAGTAAACATCAAATGGACGTTCAACTCATATACATAGTTCGCACTCAAACATTCAATATTGATTATTGATTCGATCTGGAATCTTCACTAGTGATATAATATATTATCAACGACACAGAACCATTTTGTTATACTCAAACAACCAATATGTGAGGTTGGGTTGATAATCGCCATGTTTATTGTTTACCACGGGTGGCATTTTGAATGATTTTTTTGTGTAAGGAAATCTTCTGGAATAGTCTGATATTGTCTGATCTTTTGATTGATTGTATGTAGTCTGTGCAGTTACCTATTATACAGGGTGTCCCGAAATTAGCCTGCCAAACTTTACCAGCGGCTTCTTCGACCAAAAATAGGAAGAAAAGTTCCATTGAACATGAATCGAGAAATGTCTTCTAAGAGAGCTACGGCCCCCTGAAAGGGGGCTCCTGAAGATGATATTTCTTGAATATTACCGAAAAGCCACGTGATGAAATGATGCATTTTGATACAAGGATTAATATTTTCATACCCAATGCGGTGAACATCGAATCATTTCGAAGTTTCATTCAGGAGTGTATAATATACTGGGTGAGACTACATTAAATATTGCGTATATTATTTCTCGTATGCATATTTTTGGAAAATTTTATCTTGGATTATAAAAATCCACACCATTTCACATCAAGAAGTGTTCTTGATCCGCATCGATAAGATTTTTCATTTTCGAGTGAAATCGATTTAAAAATATTGATGCACCCACATCTTATGCATAACATTGCCAATAAAATTTTCGAATCATAGTGGCTCTGAAAAAATCAAGTATTTTTCTTCGATCAAACTATCTCATAAAAGCGCGAAAAAAAATAAAAGAACTACTACAATTTTTGTGCATTTTTTTTCATTTCTACTACGCCTCATTGCAATGGTAGGCATAATATCTGATATGTAACAATATTTTTGAATTGCTTTTACTCGATGACAATACATTTGATCTTCACGGAACAAGATTCCTGTTTTTCTGTGAAAAGGTGTTAAATTTCATAATCTGAGATCAAATTGTCGGAAAATATGTGTGTGTGTGTGTGTTTAAAAGTGTTTTTAACCGCCAGCTTAGTTGCAAAGCAACCCTCGAAAGTCAGAGACTTGTGTGAGTTAAGAAGACGGGGACCTTAGCTTTTTAAGTGTCATCCGAAGCACTACTCGGCTGGTAACCGTGGACAGTCCAAAGGATTGATATCTAGGTACCAAGAATGTTGGGTTGGCCACCTATCTCCTCCCGCCCAACGAAACTACCGAAAATTAATTCAGTGCTCGCGCCGGGGATCGAACCCGGACCGCCTGGGCAACAGCCAGCGACTTTACGCTCACGGCCACCAGTCCAGTACACAAAAAATTTTGAGCAGTATTTAATATAGTCCCACCCTGTATTATACACTCCCGATTGAAATTTTGGAATGATCATTCTCACTGCTTTGGGCATGGAAATCTTAGTTCAAGATGATTTGACCCTCAAGAATACCCAGTCCGCAAGACTTTATGAAAAAACACACGAGTAAAGTGCTCCCCAGGGGGGCTAGGGAAAAAAATCAAAAACTTTTCATTGTGTATTTCCATAAGATCAATCGATTTAAGGTGAAATTGAGATGATTTGACTCTCAAAAATACCCAGTCCGCAAGATTTTATGAAAAAACACAAGAGTAAAGTGCTCCCCAGGGGGGTCATAGAAAAAAAACTGAAACTTCTCATCGTGTATATCGGTGAGCTGAATCCAGATATGCAATAAAAACATTGAAAAGTTTGATGGAAATAGCCAGTCCGCAACGTTTTATTCCAGTCCGCAAATTATACACACCCTAAGATTTATTCATTCATTCATTTTTTGCCAGAAAAAAGAAAAAATTGTACATTATTACATATTTTGAGTGGTTCATAATAACTGCAATACATGGGATGAATACACTGATACCTACGCCGTTGTCCTTGATATTACTTGATAGTTTACAAGATATGGTAATCTGTGAGTAAGCTCACCAAGTATATTATATCAATGCGGAGAACTGTGCTATCTTATTTAAATCATATTATGTTTATTTTCATTCCATATAAATCTCCTTATGTATAAGTTTTGACGAAATCAATTGTTTTTAAACAATAAATACATTTACTGGCATTTTCACAAGGCAGCAAATAGGTATACCTGTGTGTGAAGGATATAATCATAATTATATACAAGTAACTATGTAGAGAGGGTGAACAAGATTCAAAACGTGGAAAGGAGGAGAAGATTATATATATGATGATGATGAATACACTCTCTATACTCCTGGTGAATATGAGTTCTAGAAAACTTTTGTAGACAATTTTGAAAGAGAGTGCGACTGATGCATGATGGTGAATCTTATTCATAATATTCATATGGAGATGGAAATAACGATTGCCAATGGAGCCCACTTCGATCGAAGAGCTTTTGTAGAAAAGATAGTGTTTTATTTTTCATCTCGCTTCCTGTTGAACTTTAATCAAATTTTTGTGTTATTTCTTCAAGTGGTGAAATACCCTGAATATAGAAATAAATGCTTTACTCAGTTTTTTCATGAATTGCAAATTTTCACAAAGTTTTACCCATTATTTGCAGAAGACATTGTATCAGTATCCTCTGAATTCATTCAGATGTACAATGAATGTACATTGGATGTCCAAAAAATACCCAGAGTGGTTGTTATTTGGATGACTTCTGTACATCCATTTCACTAAATATAGACATTCAATGGACGTCCAATGTACGCACATTGTACGTCCATTGGACCATTCCTGGACTAGGAATGTACTTCCAAAATTATTCAGGTTTTTGTGAAAGAAGGAGAGCCGGCTGCAGATTTCTACCATCATCTAATAACGAAATGATATATGTCTCAAAGGAAAGTGGAAACATTGTAGTTTGGCACCTGTGTCAATCACTATCCTGAGCAAAATGATTAGAAAAATGCACTCTCCTGTGCGGAAATTTGCACTGCGATTTGATAACGAGATAAAAATTATGCCATCCGATACCAATTGAATGGTAGATATCAAAAACCTACCTGTGCCACATCTCATCAGTCTGAGCCTGATCCACAGCACAGCGATTTATTTGCTGCTATTACTACAGACATATTTTTGTCATGTGATAACGAGTTGAGACAAGAAGCGAACGAAACGGGATGATATTGCCTTTGCGAATATCCAAACGTGCGGGGATTCAAGTTAGTGACAAAGTGTCAATACTTCCGAGCATATTTCGCCCCCTTCTGAAGATAATATCCGATGGACCAGTGTAGAACTCATGTGGTTCTCACACTACAAGTATTCTAACCCACATGTCAAGTTTTACACTGGTCCATCGGATATTATCTTTAGAAGGGGGCAAAATATTCTCGGAAGTAATGACGCTCTGCCCTGACTTGGATCAGTTTGAATCGCGGCACGTTTGGATATTCGCAAAGGCGACATCATCCCTTTCCGTTTGCTTCTTGTTTCAACACCTTATCACATGACGGAAGTATGTCTAGAATAATATTGCAGCAAATAAATCGCTGTGCCGTGGATTTGGATCAGACTGAGGGGTGGCACAGGTAGGTTTTTGTAATCTACCATTCAATTGGTATCGAATAACATGATTCTTATCTCGTTATCAAATCGCGAAATCGAGTGCAAATTTCCGCACTCGAAAGTACAAATTTCTGATCATTTTGCTCAGGATAGTGATTGACACAGGTGCCGTTAGATGAACTACAATGTTTTTACTTGCCTTTATATTATACAGGGTGTCCCAAAATCAGCCTGCCAAACTTCACCAGCGGCTTCTTCGACCAAAAAGAGAAAGAATAGTTACAATGAACATGAGCCAAGAAAAGTCTCCAAAGGGAGCTACGGCCCCCTTAAAGGGGGCTCCTGAAGATGATATTTCTTGAATTTTTCCGAAACGCCAAGTGATGAAATGATGCAATTCGGTACACGAACTAATCTCACCATGCCCAATGCGGTGAGCATAATATAATTTCAGAGTTTCATTCAGGAGTGTTTAATACAGGGTGGGACTACATTGAATATTGCTCAAACTTTTCCGAATGCATATTTTTAAACGATTCAATCTCGGATTATGAA